GCTGGATTCTCGAACCCAGACTCCTCTCCACCCACGTCAACCATTCCAACGCCACGTGCGAGTGGTTAAGTGTGGCACCTTCCCAGCCATTCTCTGGCTCGATAGCGATGGAATCAGGAGCCATGACGCACTTTCGCCAATACCTATAGAATACAAATGTTTGTTTAGTCGCATGATTTTTAGTCACATACATTCTGTACAAAAAACCACTTACGAGTTACAGGCTTGGGCGATGGTGATGCATTTTTCCATCGGGTTGAACTTGGCGATGGCTTTGAACTCCGCGATGAATTTCAAGCATCCCGCTTTGAGGAGGGCTACATCCGAATGACAGTAAGAAATCAACTCTTCTTTAAGATTAAAGGGAAGATTCTTACTGCGTTCTTCCGCATACCACTCCTCAAACTCCTATTTTTTCTGAGGTGACATGCCATCTGGGTCATAATACTCTGGTGCAGCGAGGGGGCCAATATAGTGTTGGTGCTCTGGCGTGTTGAATTAATTGGGAAAGAATTCTTTCTTTAATTGCGGAATACCAAAGGTCGAGGAGAAGGCAGCCAAGGACATCGGTAGGAAGCAGATGCTGTCTTTAAAGGAAATTTTACCGACCTTCATGCATAGGTTCTTTGTGCCATTGGGAATGAGGAACTCAAAGCGTCGACCCTCCTTGACCATCTGCTCTTGAAGGAAGACGGAATCATACCCCTTCAGATTGTGGAATATACCGACGACTTCCCGGTGCTCGCTGTAGTGACGATTTTCTTCGGGTAGACCGTAGGCCAGTTCGTCTAGAAAGGCTAGGAAGTCACCGGTACATTCCGGACCATAAAACTCCTCAACGTCATCGGACTGTGAGGTTTGTGCCACGATGAGAATAGGGATATGCGTTCCGTCTTCGTCCAGCATGGCTTCGTAATCGGCCCAGACTTTGATGGGGGGCTCGTAGTACTCTGAGGCTTCCGGGTTCTTTTTTCTGTCTTGCTTTAATTTATTTTTTGGTTTTTTCTTTCTTTGGTCTTCTTTGGGGCTGANGCTTTGAACTCCGCGATGAATTTCAAGCATCCCGCTTTGAGGAGGGCTACATCCGAATGACAGTAAGAAATCAACTCTTCTTTAAGATTAAAGGGAAGATTCTTACTGCGTTCTTCCGCATACCACTCCTCAAACTCCTGTTTTTTCTGGGGTGACATGCCATCTGGGTCATAATACTCTGGTGCAGAGAGGGGGCCAATATAGTGTTGGTGCTCTGGCGTGTTGAATTAATGGGGAAAGAACCCTTTCTTTAATTCCGGAATACCAAAGGTCGAGGAGAAGGCAGCCAAGGACATCGGTAGGAAGCAGATGCTGTCTTTAAAGGAAATTTTACCGACCTTCATGCATAGGTTCTTTGTGCCATTGGGAATGAGGAACTCAAAGCGTCGACCCTCCTTGACCATCTGCTCTTGAAGGAAGACGGAATCATACCCCTTCAGATTGTGGAATATACCGATGACTTCCCGGTGCTCACTGTAGTGACGATTTTCTTCGGGTAGACCGTAGGCCAGTTCATCTAGAAAGGCTAGGAAGTCACTGGTACATTCCGGACCATAAAACTCCTCGACGTCATCGGACTCTGAGGTTTGTGCCACGATGAGAATAGGAATATGCGTTCCGTCTTCGTAATCTGCCCAGACTTTGATGGGGGGCTCGTAGTACTCTGAGGCTTCCGGGTTCTTTTTTCTGTCTTGCTTTAATTTATTTTTTGGTTTTTTCTTTCTTTGGTCTTCTTTGGGGCTGAGGGTTGGATAAAACATTGGTGATTGCATAAATCGACCTCTTCTTTGCAATTCCTGCATTCACCCCAGTAACACCGGTGAGGCTCCTTCTTGTCTGGTTTGAACTCGTGACAGCAGATGCCACAACGAACGAGTTTTTGACACAGACCTTTTTCCCGATGGAGTGACATACAGGAATTGTCAAAGAAGTGCAGATTACATTGGGTGCAGTGCAGGGAAGGTAAGGAATCTTTAGGACCACACTCCAAGGTCTTGCAGGACTGACAAAGGCGACCTTCGCAGGGGTGATGTCTGTATTCGTCGTGGTCAAAACCACGGTTACCCTCGTGGCAGAAATAACTCCTTTCGATAATAGAAGCATACGAAGTGCAACCGTGGTAATGACCCACGCCACCTTCTGGATCCGATTCGAAGAGAAGACTGAGAACCAAGGGTCCACAGATCTTCCCTTCGTAAGTGATGGAATAAGGATACCTGAAATTGTAGAAAATAAGTAAGAATTAGGTTTCACGCATAAATAGCATAAAGTAAGATTTACCACACATAAATAAAATAACGTAACATTTACCTCACACTCATCACTTTGAGGCGATAGTCTGGAGCTAGAAACTCCTGGAATTTTATAAGTTCTCCCCTTCCGCAACAGCAGCCTTTGCATGCAACTCTTTGGCACACCGGGTTAACGTTACCGGGTATCTGCCGAGGCTGTTGTAATACCTAAAAGAAACAATAAGAAATATTATTAGAATGGTATAAGTACGAATACCTGAAGTAAGATGATAAAGTCTTACCTTTTACTATCTGGATCGTCGTCCTTATGACACCATGCCTTGGTCAGGCAAATGGCTCTGGCCGGACACAAGTTGTCCTCAGAATTCTTGATGGGCAGCACACACTGTTTCCGACGGAGAACAGTGGTCATGTTTAATTTCCCGAGAATGTGAAGGGAAGTTGTGCCACCAGTGTCGGGCTCGGCGATGATCGTCATGTCCACCTGGAAGTCATCGGTGGCGTCAAAACTCTCGTTGGAGTTGAGTTGGTTCGCCAAGGTTTGCATATAGGTTTCCCAGCGGGTAGTGTCTTGGGCGATTTCCTCCACGGTAAATTTCGCCGACTGTAGCGGGTGACTAAACTTCTTCTTCTTCTTATTTTATTCGTGGCATCCAAATCAAACAGGTACTTGTGTTGGTAAAGTAATTCACGATCGTTCAATATTCTCACGTCGCTCATGATGATGATGTACACAGTTTCCTGGCTTGGCATGAAATGATGAATTTGTGTCTTCCGATAGCTTTAAGGAATATCCATGGGTTTTCATTCTCCACGATTCGTACTGGTAAATGGCATATCAGACAATAACTACAATAAAACGGCGTATAATGCCAACAGTTTGTACATTGGAACCATCTTTCTGCCAGTCTTTGGGCAAAGGCTTTATTATTCCAAAGGTATTGTTGCGGCATCTTTATTCAATTTTGAGTTTAGCCAACTGTTCTGTCAAGTCTTCAATCCACTTGGGTAAACATGGTTCGTACAGGTTTGATGACCTTTTATTCAAGGACTTTTCCAGGACTTTTCCAGGACTTTTCAAGGACTTTCAACAATATTCAAGGAGTCCATTTCCACACGCACGATTTCACATTTTTCCAGTTACTCCAAAAAAGCAATTTCTGTAAGTGCAAGTAAAAGTCATACAACCAAAAGATAGGATCATGAAGAATTATTCCTTCAGCTTTTCCAGCATGGAACTTAATTTTTTGTCTAAGGAAACAAGATCATTAAGTTTGTCCTTTGCAGATCGCCTCAAAGCATTCGCCTGGGTGACAAATGTTAACTTAGCAGTAGCCTCTGCTTTGGTACAAAGTTCATCGGCTGTGTCATTGAGTGTTTTAATCTCAGCATCAATTCTCTTCTTCTTCTTTTTGACTTCATCAATCTCTTCCAGCACGCACTTTCTTTTTGACCGTTCCTGTTCAGTTTTTTTCTTCTGCCTTTCTTGATCAAGGTATTTCTCGTACCGTTGTCTTGACATCTTGACTGACAGAAGCAAGGGCTTGCTCAATTCAACCTTCAATACTCCTCCCACACTGTTCACATGGTCACACACAATCCTTTCAGCTACTAGAGTATGTTCCTTCAAATTCTCAACTT